CGATAGCTAGTCCATACCCAAAATAACATCAAAGCCCTTCATGGCCATGACTACAAATGGAAAAGGAAGCCTATGGTCGGCGACCTCTATATCACAACCTCTAACACCCTGTTTCAAGATCAACTCACCACCCAAAGGTGATACCACACAAATAGGAGATGCTAACTGTGCTATCTCCAACTCCAAAACAGATGCAAATGCAGCAGATACAAAAGAATGAGATGCACCCGTGTCAATCAACACATTAGCAACCGAGTTGCAAAACAAAAAGGTACATCTCACTACTGATGGAGCCGGTACTAGATCCTGCGCGGTAACAGCATACACGCGCCCCGTAGGCCCCTGATCTACTTGCTCACCCCTCGGAGCATACGACTGCTGCACTGACTGGGATGACGAAGCTCCCGGATTGGCCCTCGAGGCCTGCACAGACTGAGTTGGCTGATAACTCTGTGTCTGCCTAGAACCAGACGCTCCTGAAGTTGCACTCAACTGAGGGCAATACCTCTTCAGGTGCCCAAGCTGCCCACACTGATAGCAAGATAAGGGCTGCCCCCTGCTCAAACTCTGACTCTGGGGTCTAGCGGAAGAAGAAGCAGCTCTCTGACCTCCGCCCTTCTGTGGGCAAACCGAAGACTTGTGACCCAGCTGGCTACAAGTGTAGCAAGTCAAACCTCCCTGATTACCTCTCCCCGAGCCTGCACTCGGCACCGGAAAGGTCGATCTAGCAACTCCACCCTGAGACTGCTGAGGGTTATAACCCCTCTGTCTCTTGCCATCACCCTAACCCTCCTGGCCCCGCTTGGAGCCTCTATGTTTCTCCTCGTCTTCCTCCTGCATCATAAGCTCCATATGAGCTGCAGCATCCACTAAATGTCTATACTCTCGGATGTAAGACCCATCAACCCTCAACTTGAGGCCCCGCCTCAACTTCCGCTCAAACTCATAACAACGGCGTTCTTCGGATGCCACAAACTCAGGTGCAAACCTGGACAAACTAGTAAAAGTGGCCTCAAACTCTGCCACGGACATACCCTGCTGATTAAGCTGGTTAAACTGATCCTTCAGCTTCTCCCTAGCAACTGCAGATAAGAACCTCTCATGGAAAGCATTCACAAACGCCTCCCATGTACCACCAACACGAGCCTTCTCGTACTTCCACCATTGACCCGCATCTCCCTTCAGCTGGAAGGATGCCAAGGTCACTTTCAATGCTCCGTCCTCGATGCCAAGCATCTCGAACGTCTTCTCCATCTATTCCAACCACTCGTCAGCCTTAAGTGGCTCCTTTGGATCCCCAACAAACTCGTCCGGATTAGACCGGAAGAACTCCCTCTTCAAGAAAGAAGGCCCTACCTCAGCTGCCTAGCTCCCTACTCTGAGAATACCCAAAGCTCCTGCTATCTCTCGGGCCAAGGCACTCATAGCCTGCTGACCCGCTGGCTCAGCCACATTGGCCTGGCCAACTCCCTCCTGCACTGCCGGACTATCATCCGGTAAAGGTACTTCCTGCCTCGCAGGCCTACCATGCCTAGCACCTCTTCCTCGTCCTGACATCCTAATAAAGGTAATACAAAACGTTAGCACATTCACAATGTGCCAAAACTAAACACTCACGTCCTAATGCATGGACAACTGTAATTCATTCCATGTAAGCACATAAACACATAAGCACTTACGAATTTCCTTTTCGGATAATGATAGTCCTGAGGCGTTACTAGAGTTCCGATTAGAAACGGCATTGATCAAGTGCCTTTCCAACAAGACTCCCAGAAACCCAAGGATCCAGTCAACATCCTAGAAATTAAATCCCATACCCATATAAACACATAAGCATGTTATTAATTTAAACACATGGCATATGACACTACACCTAAGTCTTTATCAAGCGAGACAAACCCATTGTGATACTAATCACTTCCCACGTACTCAAAGTATTCAAACCCGGTACGCTTTGATACCAAGTTGTAATGCCCTAAAAAAAAATAACATTAAACCCAACAATATAGACATGCATTGATATATAAAAGCTCCACATTCTTCTATTCATCAGAGTTCCATTACCAAAAAATATTACATGTTAACAACAAAAGCAAATGCCCTACGGGCTTACAGCTTTCCAAGTTAACACTTGGTTACAAACAAAAGAGTACTAACTCAATTACATATTAAGCCCTTGGCTTGAATTTACATGTAATACATCAAAAGAAATAAGACAACAAAAGGATGCCCGCCTCCCAAGCTACGTCCTTGGAGGTGGCATGCTACCTGTACCTGAAAATGATATTCCCATATAGGGTGAGCCACAGCCCAGTAGAAATACACTAAACCAACCATGGACATGACTAAAAAATTAGCAATTGATAGATGGTCAACCACTGATACAATCACATAAATCACAATATTTATGTCAACAACTTATGAAGTCTAAGTTAGCCTTTCATTTTTTTCCCTTTTCCAACAATAGGCATATAGCACTTACCCACATGCTCACAAGATATGTATACAACAATATCCACATTCTCCGATAGCAAAAAAGCTATATCCACATTCCAACAAACATGATATGTATAACAACAATATCCACATAAGATAACATATAAGCACCTGCCAAGTAAGCTATCTATCACACTGCACAAAGATAGCATATGAGCTGTCTACTTCACTTCTCTAACAAGCATATTGAGCTGTAATCTTACGGAGTTTCATCGCCCTATCTTCTTCTCCTAATATTTCCGGGTTTAGAGGTACATCCCTATCTTCCCCTAAACCGCGGAGTACATCCCCTATCTCCTCTCTACACCATTAACGTATACAAAACAGCATTGGTTCTATAATACGCAATCACTCAATTACATAGCAGTTAATGTATTTCTATTCACCAGTCCAAAATTCCATACACATTCATGATTAGTTTCTGTTTTTGCCTAAATCATCATCTGCTTGTCTACCAACAATCACGGTTATCCTGCCACCGATAGCCCAAAGCAGTTATTTCTAAACAGAAAATAAATATGCACAAAATGGATATTTCAGTCAACATTCATTTCTCATTTCTCAAATTATTATCCCATTAAATTAAACAATGTAATTAAGGCCATTTCCCATACTTACCATTTCAACCCTTAGGTTCCATTTTCATTAATGTTTCAACATTAATTTCTTTTCTCCATGCCAAACATGCATTTAGGTTTTATATATCTAAAACCCCAACTTTTGTAAATTTACACAAAAGCCCCCAACTATCACAAAATTACCAAACCAACCCCAACATCTCAAAATACTAAAATTTAAAGACAAAGTCCATAGTAAGGAGTAGGTTATCCCTACCTCGAAATTAGAGCTCAGATGGAGAAGAGACCAAAACTAAAGTGCTCCAAAAACCAAGATTTTCAGATCAAAACGACGCCCTCGACGATCAACACAACTTTTACAAAGGCCGAAGAGAAGGAGGACACTCTAACTAGATCAAACCCTAGAGAGAAGGGAGTTTCTAGAGAGAGAGGCTCTCAAAAATGGGTTTTAGAAAAAGTAGAAGAGAGAAAGAAAAGCAAAAAGTGATTTAAAATCACCCAGCGGATAACTTATATACGTATGACCCGCTCGAGCGGAGAACACAACGCTCGAGCGCCAAGAACAAAAATCAGGACACGCTCGAGCGCAATAAGGCCCGCTTGAGCGCTCGAGCGTAAAAATCAGATCTGCAGAAGTTTTGCAGGAACACAAAATACTGGAAGTGTGCAATCCCCGCTCGAGCGCAAGAAGACCCGCTCGAGCAGATCGCCTAAAAACTGAACAACAAGGAATTGAAACCAAGGCCTAACCAACCTGTAACAACCCTGCTCAAAACATCCTAAAACTCAATCAAGTGGAATTAAAGGACAACAACAAGATAGATACCACTACAAACTTCGCGGAACCGAGTCCGGAATACTATTGAACAGTAAAGGGACAACCGGGATCGCTATATCTGATCAACGTGATTTTTTACAGGCATATAATACTCGACGTGTTCTACATATTGAATGGTTCAGATTATCGAAATGGGACCCATGCGTATCTCCCATGGGTCCAACAGTACCCTCTAGTTTAATGAATATATATATCTAATTTTTTCATAAGATATATGAAAAGTACCCCCACGGGCCCACACGTGAGCTTGTACCATCACTAGAGGGTACAATTTTGCCTTCTATTTTTTTTTGTACTTTTTTGGTGAATAGTGATTATTTTTTGAGTATTTTAGTAACTTTTAGGCTTTTTATCTTTTATAAACTATGCCAAACAAGCACTAAAATAACCAAAAATCTAAAAAGTCATAAAGCCAACCCACTTTCCAAACGAAATAACAACAAAACAAAACACAAATTTTTTAATGGAAGGTGACATGTCATAATTTCATTGGCTAGTCCAACTACATTAAAGCCAAGTGGGAAACAACAAAGCAGGGCTTAGCGTATGCCGGTCCACTTATCATACGCCTTGTTGTGCATGCAGACTATTATCAAATGCCAATTCAATTCCTATTTCCATTTCCACCCGAACGAGCCTAATGACAACCCTATATATATAGATATATACATATATATATATATATATGAATGTATGTATTGATTTTGTACTTTCTTCATTCTCTCTGTCCTCTCTCTCTTTCTTTAAAAACCCTAATCATCTCTTTATATCTCTCTCTCTCTCTCTCTCTCTCTGTGTGATGAACTAATCGAATCTTCAAGGTATACTTTTTGATTTCTGCTTTCGAATCTTTAATCAATTTCTGTTTTTTTTTTTTTTAAATTCTACTATGTATCAATCTTTTATCGAATGATGCAATCTGTTCGTTGTTTGTTTTTTTAGAATTCATGTTCAATTTGATGTGTTGTTAAATTATAAATATTTGTTTATGTTTAGCTATTTTTTTGGTTGGATTTCGCGGGGGTTCGTGTCAGGATCTATAGTGATTGAGCTCTGAGTAAGTTGATTAATCTTTTTTTTATTGCTTTGATTTGCTTCGTTTTTATTTATTTATTTATTTTTGGTCGTAGTTCATTTTCCGTTTGGTAGCTAAGAAAAGGAAATAGGAAAATTCAATGAGATTTCGTAATTTATGTGTTTTTTTCACTAGAAGAGTAAGCTCAATTATGTCTTTTACAATTAATTGAGTCGAGTGATATTCCTTCGTAATTTGGTTCTAGAAAATACAAACTGAAAGGTTTTTCCTTTATTTTCTCAACAACCAAACAATCAAGTTTGTGCTTTTCTTAGCTTAGACACAAATTTAATCATGTCTTGTTCATTGATTCACTCAAATCTGCTAAATTGCTATCTTTGGCGATGAATTCTTTAGTTATTGATCTAAATTTTCTGCCAACTCTTCATACACTATTATTTTGGGAGGTTATTTGGCCTTTCATTTTGGAGTTTAAACTAAATATATAGAGATTCTGCTTAGATTTTCTTTTACCTATTTATATTTTGGTCGATTTATGTAGTCTGTTTTGGATTTGAATTTCATTAGCTTTGGAAATACATGTTTCTTTTAAATTTCACATGTAGCACTCAATTAATTGTCTAACAGACTTTTTAAAATCTGTATCATTTTTTTATCCTTGCTCTCTGATCTTCATTTCATAAAAACTTTATTAATGTAAATGTGTAATTGTTTTGATTTTCCTTTATTACAATGATGGTAATGAAATAATGATTATCTATTATATAATGAAATTATGATCATCTATATAAGGAAACAGAGATCATCTATAGAATGAAACATATTTATTGACTCTGTATTATTGATGTGTGAATTTATTTCATTAGCACAAATTTTTACGAATCAATAATTAGGAAACAGAAATGATTAGAAAACAAACATTAAAATATCCTATATAATGAAATTATGATTATTTATTGAAACAGATTTATATAATGAAATTATGATCATCTATATAAGGAAACAGATTTATTGACTTTGTATTAATTTTAGCATTTTTAATTAATTTGCAATGAGGTTTTATGACATCATATGTTGTCATGAATTTTTTTATGAAATATTATGTGATTTATGTCATTTTTTGATTGATTTAATTCCAGTGTTATGTCAAGAATTTAAATAGAGTTTTATAACTTTTAATTAAATTATGGTGGTGATTATGATATTCATGTAATTATCAATGGATCTCTTGTGGGGTATTATTTCGAAAAGTATATTTCATGTGTAAAAATTCTCAATTTTAGTTTAATACAAAATGCATATATATTAAAATTCGTTGTGTACTGTTTTTACCCGAATGTGTGTTTGAATACGATTCTACTTCGTGTTGAATTGTTACTACAATCCATCTAATCTTGTTTTATTCGCTATTGCAGAAATGATTAGGAAACAACAATCTATCTAGTTTTCTTCGCTATTGCAAAATTGTTATTACAATCTATCTAATCTTGTTTTACGAATCAACAATTAGGAAACAGAAATGATTAGGAAACATACATTAAAATATTCTATAAAATGAAATTATGATCATTTATTAAAACATATTTATATAATGAAATTACGATCATCTATATAAGGAAACAAAGATCATATATATAATAAAACATATTTCTTAAGTCGTGTCTTCTTCCTCATATCAGGTAATGTTGTCGCTAACTTTCTGTCTCAAGCACGCGGTGAAGCCCAACACTCTTTGATCATACCTCGTCGAATTCATCTCTACCTTCCTCTTCGTCTTTGCTGCAGTAGGCTCTGCTATGTCTTCTAGGAAGATGATGCCGGATGCTACAACAGATCTGTCTACACTTGTAGTGGTTACGGTAGCGAATGCATTTGCATTGTCGGTAGCGGTTTATACAGTGACTAATATCTCCGGCCACCATGTGAACCCGTCGGTCACGGTCGAGATGGCGATTAGGGGTCATATTACTGTTCCTATGGCTATTTTTCACGGGATTTCACAGTTAGTTGGGTCTGCAATGCCTTGTCTTTTCTTAAAAGTTACCACCGTCTCACAACATGTACCTGTCCATGGAATCCCACAAGAAATGACTGGGTTTGGAGCATCCATTTTGGAAGGGGTGATGACATTTGGTTTGGTCTACACAGTTTATGCAGCCAGGGACCCGAGACGTAGTCCACTGGGAGCAATTGGACCCTTAGCAATTGGGTTCATTGTAGGAGCCAATGTATTGGCATTCGGGCCATTTACGGGCGAGTCAATGAACTCGGCTTACGCGTTCAGGTCAGCTCTTTTTGGAGGCAGTTTCCAGAACCATGTAGTCTATTGGGTCGGACCTTTAATCGGGGTCTGCTCTTGTTGGTATCCTATATGATAATGTGGTCTTCCCGGTTCAAGTACCTGGCATTGCAGATGGAGTTGGGGTTTAATTAAATGCAGGAAAATGTTGATTTTGTTTTATTTTATTTTGGGAAAGATAAATTAGAATATTCTATACAACGAAATTATGATCATTTATTGAAAAAGATTTGTATAATGAAATTATGATCATCTATATAAGGAAAAGAGATAATCTGTATAATGAAACATATTTATTGACTCTGTATTATTGATGTGTGAATTTATTTCATTTGCATAGATTTTTACGAATCAATAATTAGGAAACAAAAATTAAAATATTCTATATAATGAAATTATGATCATTTATTGAAACAGTTTTATATAATGAAATTATGATCATCTATATAAGGAAACCGATTTATTGACTTTTTATTAATTTTAGCATTTGTAATTAATTTTCAATGAGGTTTTATGACCTCATATATAGCGATCCCGGGTTTACCCTTGTTGAACAGTGATCCGGACATGTGTCTGTGGATGTTGGTAGTTGTTTATTATCTTGTTTGCATCCTCTCTATTTTGTATATTGAGTTATAGGATGTGTTGGGCAGGTTTGTTACAGGTTGGTTGTGTTTGGGAGCCTAGTGTAGTTGCCCAGATTTTTGGGACCTTTGCTCGAGCGAGAGTTGTCGCGTCGAAGCAAGGAGAGTTTGCAGTCCATGTCCTGGTGGATCGAGCCAGAGTGGCTTCGCTCTCGAGCGAGCGATGGGCGTCTGGTCTGGACCTGAAGTTGTATTTCTTGGCTCGAGCGAGTTTTCTTGGCTCGAGCGTCTGGTTTGTTTTCTTCGCTCGAGCTGAGAGGTCTCTCGCGTCGAGGCGTGCTTCTGGTTTTTGCAGACCTGATGTTGGTTTGCTTTTGAGTTGTCTGGCTCGACGTGAGATTTCTTCCGCTCGAGCAATTGGCGTCGCACTCCTTAATGTCACTCCTGTAATATGAAACGAAATCTTATCCTCGGTAATTTGCTCTGCCATCGCGTAGGAATGAATGCGCGGATATCTAGTCAAACCGGTTGCAAACCTGAACACGACAAAATAGCATCACCTATCTCCCTGCGGCCTGAGTCTTCCGAGAAGCGACCTACAACGAGAAAGTCCATAGTGACATGTGCTCCCACTTCCAGGAATTGTCATTCGGTGGTGTAGTTCAAACAAACCCGGCGTTCGGCCCTTGGTCTGAGCTGCTCTGCCCTGATATAGCACACGTATGGTCGGAAAGTGTTAAGTGTACTTCTCAGTAATCATACGAGACAGAGACCAGCCACACTTCCTTCATACCCCACCACCAAAAACGTTATGGCGACATTTCCCAATCTTCGTATTATCATCTTTGTACCTCCCGGTAGCACCACAAGGCAGCGAATGATGAAACTCTCGGAGTACCTCCTTCCGGCGAACAGACACTCGGCTACAACAACCATAATTACTTCACTTCCTGGTTCTTCGTTACTTTCTTTAACACACCCCCAAATATGGATCCGGGATCCCGGAGGACTCTTACTAAACCTCTCTAAACACGTGCATTCTCTCTAAAGAATATCTCGCCTCATTCCTAACCCCTTTATCCGCACAGTGTGATCTTCTCTCGGAGGTGGAAATTTTCTCTAAGAACCCTCCAATAAGGGTCAAGGCACTCCCTTTGTTGCCTTCTAAAAACAACTCTTGGTACAGCAAAGTGTTTAGAGGGGGCGTTGAGCTATGCTGGTGTGATTTAAATTCTTGCTAAAAAAAGTTACATAGAGGAATTGAAGAGCACGTATCTCTCAGGCACAAGTTGGGCAGTTCCTATCGCGGTCCGTTCTTCAAACAGTTCGCCAATCATCAGCCAAATTCAATTTAGTCCCAAGCTCCGAAACAATCTCCCCCACTTCCCTGGCAAAACTTGGCTTTATACAACAGCTACATCGACTAATGAGAGTATTTCCGTACGTGGAAGGCGACATTCTTCCCTAACACAACATTTCTGCGTCTCCCTCTTATTTGTGACTCTGGATTTGTGCTATTAACTTGAAACTCTCATAGGTTATCAAATGAAAGAAAAGTCTGGATAATCCTCGGTTGAACTTCCTCATTCAATTCCAATAACAACCCCTCAGATCTCGCATGCCTTGCTAAATTTAACGTCTCTCTGTGTCAAGGACAGATACTCTCATAAAATCTGCTTGGTGATGCCAGAAGAAATGCAACCATTAAAATCTTTCTTAAAATGCACTCTGGAATAATAAGCAGTGTAAGTTGAGCCTCCAGAATTTCAAGAAGCAATAAATCGACTCTGCTAACTCTAGGTCGTGTGTGGTTGAAAAGCGTACTAAATGTCTTGCCGGTTTGCATGTTCAACTGAGCGTGAGCCCATAAAGCACCACTTTCCCTCCTGGTCATCAAACACAAACCCAAACCCCTTCGGAGACATTCAGTTCACATATATACCAGCATAATGGAACCCAAATACACTCCTCTTGAGAATAACATACCGGAGGCCGTGCTGTCAATCTAACTTTCAGCATCTTTTACGAAATAACGGGACGTTTCACTCAAGTTCTCTGCACAACTTAAACACTAAACTTTATATGGGACATTCAACTTCTCGAAGTCAGTCTTAGTTCAACTAGGTAGACTTGGCTTAACCTTGGGGGGGAAATCCTTATCACAAACAAATCGAGCGGGTAATACCAACAGGTGAAAGTCAATCGTTCCAGAATGAATGCTGGATCTGATCGTAATACCACATACTCTTGGCTGTTGCATCCCATATTTCCTGCAAACTGCCTCTCTTATCCTGTGATTTTAGATGTATCAAACAAGACACCCTACTCCCGAGAATTACCACTGACCTAAGATTTTGAACTTCCCTTCACTGCCGCCTATTGGGACTATTCACGAGTGCTTTCCCAAAACTTGGCATACAACCTTATGCGCGTCTAAGTAACTACAGAAGCACCACTCTCAAAGTGAGTGCTCTTCGTGTCTCACCTTCTCAGAAGAGCGTAATAGATAATGCGAATAGTTCATTCCACAAATATGTTTAACGTACTAGCACAACAAGCACTCGATCCCAAGAATATTGCCGGAAGATGCACTTAGGCAATTCATCAAGTACCATAAAGACGCCGGTGCAATTGGGTAAGCCCAAAACTAATTGATGCATCAACCAGAAAACTTCATATATGGCGCAAATTACCGCGTATACGGGATTGCGGTCTTCGGCAAATCTTCACCTCCTCTGAGCCCGTGAAACTGGTTTGGTAACACGAATCTCATGTCTAATCTTTTAGAGAAATCAATGGGAAACCCTCAACTGGGTCAAACATCATCTATACGATAGGTACTTATTTCTTAATTCGTTAGCTCCGAATTTCAAAACTTCCGGGTTTTCCAATACAACCCAATTCCAAAAGCCACATCTCTATTGAGGTTGATAGAATACATTAACTGTATGTATTGAGTGATTGTATATAGAACCAATGTGTTTGTATACGTTATGTTAGAGGAGAAGAAGATGGGGATGGCGATATGGGGATTTGTACTCCAAGCGGTTCTAGGAATGATGTGGATTGTTACCTCTAAACCGGTGTCAAAAGGGGTCGGTGCCCACGGCGAAACACTAGGCAGAAATCAAAGCCTTATCGAGCAATTCCTTGAGCTGAGCAGACCATCAACCAACTTTGCTGAAAGCATAAAATTAACGGTTATAAGGGGCCATAGGAAAAGATCGGCGAGCACGTTTGCCAGGGCACTGAGAAGTCAATAGGGAAACTCATATGATCATCTCGGGTTTGAGGGTGGCATCATAAGCCTTCAAAAGTATTTGTCTTCGTGGGGAACATACGAGGAAATTGTGACAGAGTAAAAATGACTTCCATCAATATGCATTATCCACTTTGTGCACCCTCGACGCTAATAGCTCCTCGGAAATACTCAGTCTGTATATGGCTGTATCTCTCTCCGCTAGCACAAGTGTCGTGGAACTCATCACGTCTCATAAGCTAGACTAAGTAGATCCTACTTAATGCTTGCTACATGTCGCGCATACTACTTCGTGCAGTATCATACCCCAGGTGCTATACTAACGTTGCTACAACTGCATCGCCACTAGAGGCTTCATCACTGCCCTTAAGTAACGTGTGGAAACACTCAGGCCTGGGATAAGAGTATCAGATAAAGCGTGACCACTTCGACTCTCGATAGCACTGTGGTGACTAGCAACGTGCATAACTCAGTGCATTCTCGTGAAATTGGTAGTCGATAGATGCTTCAGTCCCATCATCTCACTATAACTAATATCGATCAAAAACTCTCTTTACGTCATTGTTCCATGAGTGCGTATGCGAGCATTATACGAATACGATTTACTAGCTAGGGCTGTGGCCTCATCCCTATAGTCGGACGAGACCATCTTTCATATTATCTCCAATGGTACACGGCAGTCTAACACCCCATAGTGTCCACCTACTCAAGGACATAGCTATCTCGGTGAGCAAGCCAGCGCGCGCACACTATTATGCTGATACGCACTCATATAGGAGATTGCTTAACTGTGCTAATCTCTCAATTCCATAAACAGATGGCAAAATGCTAGGCAGATACAAATATATATAATAGATCTAAGATATGCATAATGCCACAAGCGGTTGTCTACTTCAATAGCTACGACTAGCAACTCGAGGTTAGCGATAAACTCTTCTGAGTGTAAGTAATAAGTTACACTTGCTCTGCATAAGCTCGTTGGAAGGCCCGTCCTAGGGGTTCATTCCTTGTACTTATGAGATCTCCTGCTGCTCACACACGCGGTAATCAGCATACACGCGGTCACTGTATGGCGCTCTAGAGTCTTACTGGACATGCCTTCTACCACTATCAATGGGGAAAGAATGTTTGAAACCGTTACTGATACTGATCAACGACGACTGGTGGCTTATGTACGAAATGCGGTTTATCACTGGTATAATGTAAGTCTCTCCTCGAGAGCCTGCACAGGACTGAATTGCGGACTCAGAACTTTAGCCCGTGGCTAGTGTCCAGATGGACGCTACCGGGAACCGAATGTCACTCCCGATACTAGTTGGCCACGTCAGACTGACGGCGTCGAAAGACACGCTGATTATGCGAGTTCACAAGTGCCGCAAGCTGTTTTGTCTCCCACTACTTGATATAGAGACACTCATAGGAACATGCAGGGTGACTTGCCCATACTTTGGCCTATGCCTAGCTTA